ATTTGAATTAACTTACCTGTGTGAATGTTTTTTTTAATCTGTATGGACAGTTAAAGCTTTCAGTATGGTGTCTTAAAACATCCATTGTTTTTTTTTTGTTCAGGGAAAGAAGCTTCTTGACATTAACTACCCCGAAGGTCCTTTTGGCACAAAGGTTAGTTTTAATTCTTTACTAGTGTATAAACTTCTTGTATTGATGAACAAACAAACAAACAACAACCCAGTTAAATCCCACAAGAGTAGGGTCTGGGGAGGGTGTGTATACGCTGACTTTACCCCTACTCGAAAGTAGAGAGGCTGCTTCCAAAGAGACCCCCGGCTCAACGTCGAAAGTTGCATTGCTTCACTAACTGCTACTTCATTAATTAAAGAAGCGCAGACAGTTTAGAGATCCATTTTGATTTATTCCATCACACCCAAAGCCAAAAAATGGTGAAATTTTGGCTCCATCAGAGATGATGGAAAGTATTTCTTGTATTGATGAATGTTGTTAAAATTGTTCTCCTTCAATTCCATAACTTACCAATGTTTGCATATTTGATTCTTTTTTCTATTTGCTTAAATTAAAGGATCCATCTCGTTAAACAAACCTTTTCTCTTCATTGAAGCATATTTTCAGTATGTAGTTGGCATTTTTTTTGTTGCAGCTTGCTTAAAACCTGTGAAATAGATGTTTTACTAAAAGAATATACACATTTATACTTATAGCTGTAGAAGTGACCACACGGGCTTAGGTTGGTAGACCGCGGTAATGCACCTAGACAGTTGTTAATTTTTATAATAAGTTGGAGCTAGATTCATGTCCGCATATAATAATAGCAAGTGGCCTCTTTACTCTTAGGGGTAGAGGCATGGTTTCCATACCCAGATGCTACTTTTGAGTAGGATTTACTGGTATGTTTTGTTTGGTTTGGCTTACATGATTATAATAAGTTGGAACTTCCAAGTCTGTATTCTATGTGATAAATTAACTCATAAATCATAATTAAAAACAGTGAACTTATTGAATAAAATGCAAACAACAACAACCAGTTGGATCTCACGAACGTAGGGTCTTGGGAGGGTGTGTGTACGCATACCTTGCCCCTAACCAAAAGCAGGGAGGCTGTTTCCATAAAATGATGTAATTTTTTAAAATTGGCTCTCTCTTGGTGGTCAACCCCCTAACTTGAGTTGCATAGGTAAAAACTGTGGCCGAGTTCCCTGATTCTTACAACAGTTTCACCACAAACTCTTGAAGAACAAACCTTAAATACTTTCAATTTATGTAATTACAATAACTTTCTTAGTATTCTATTTTCATTTAAGTTCTGTCTGGTTTGTAAAACTTCTAAAATCATGATTTAATCAAAAAGAGATCATAGACCCGTGGAACTGACTCGTTTTTAACAATCTGGTTAAAGCGGGTTCTAGTTATTAATTTCAACAACTCGCCCCGCTATGTTCAGTATAAAAACAAGTCGGGCTGGGTTTACACTCATATGAAAACTGGCCAGGCCCTTGCCCACCCCTAGATTAGGTCATCTCAATCTATTCTTTATTGAATATGTTATCAAATTTGACCTAATGATTGACACAAACCTCTCTTTGACTTTCTGTATTTGCTCGTAGGAAGCACCAGCTGTCATCAAGTCCTACTATGACAAAAGAATCATAGGATGCCCTGGAGGTGAAGGCGGTATGTTGCATAAAACCCAAACTATAATGTCCTTCCATTTCATTGTAGCTGATGTCTTTGCATGATAGAAAATGTTTTTTGATTGTTCCCTATCTCCACATCACAGAAGAAGAGCATGATGTTGTTTGGTTTTGGCTGGAGAAGGACAAGCCGCATGAATGCCCTGTTTGTTCGCAATATTTTGTGGTAAGTTCACTACCCGTTAAATTTGCAGCTCCCGCCTGACTTCAAAGGTATTGTTGCATTTCAGAAAATGCCATGGCAAGGGAAAGATTCCTTATCCCTTTAAAGCCGATTTATCTAGTGCTTTGGGAATGGATTAGTGTTTGTGAAAAATCTGGTTGATTGGACCTTTAAGCTGAAAAAGGATTTTACCATATTATCTTTTAACACTTCCATCGTGAAAATGTTTGTATTAATGAGGATGATAACAATGAATGGTTAGAGTCCAATGATTTTGGAGTAAATACCATTAATGGTCATCTGTAATTAAGGATATTTTACATTCAGTTCACTACTCGATAAAGTTTCATTGGAAGCCCACATTAAATTTGATTTTTCTGGCTCTAATCCTCTATGTCAGTAAATATCAGCTAAGATCTTTAAAAAATTAGAGCATTGATACTTTAGTCATCTGTTAGTGTATCCTTTTGAGGCATTCTGAAGATCTATGATAGAAAGAAGGATCAGGGATGTACTAACTTCTCAAAATTTACAAAGAATTTTTGGCTACATAATTGAACTAAATTCGAAATATCCTTAAATATCGAGGTCCGTTTGTGGAATTTACTCTTGATTTTAATTATTTCCTTATTTTGCAGCTGGAGGTTGTTGGCCCGGGAGGACCTCCGGATGGTCACGGTGAAGACGAGGATGACAGTCACCATCACTAAAGCTCTAAGCTCTTGCTGATTTTTTTTGCCGGAAAATGTGTTTTGTTGACCCAAGAGTCAGAGACTACTATTTTATTCCATAGTTTATTTTATTCAATAGTTTATGTTTCAATATATTTATAAACTTTAAACATTTTGGCATTCATGTGCCCCATAAAGTGCCATACTTGTACAATTGATGGCTATTGTATGCTAATGCATCATTTTTGAATCATATTGGGCTCTTGTTGAACCTTCATTCTTGTTGACCCCCCCCCCCCCCTCTCTCACCGATTAAACCGTTTGTTTATTAATTATAAAGTCAAATTTCGTTTATTTTCTTTATTTATTTATTTTTATTTATTTGATAAAATAATATTGTTATGTCATATCTTATCTTGTACGGAGTAGAATTTTTCATTCAATTTTCAAATAAACAAATTTTATAAAACTCACCCAATTCTTATATTTGGGTATATATTGAATTCTAAATAATTTCAGTCAAATTGTTCATATGTATGTGTAGTGGTCAAATTATTAATGATTTTTTTAAAGATAATTTGCACTACATACTTCTTTATTTTTTTGAACTCTTCCCATTTTGACTTTGGGTCAAAATAATAAAAGTGTAATTTTGGTTGACTTTCCAATTTTGTCTCTGATGTGATGGATAAAAGCAAGATGCGACAGTTTGGTTATTAGTAAAAAAATATGATGTATAGGTAGGGTATGAAAAAGTAGGGTAAAAGTAATTTTTTAATAGAAAATGGAGGTGTCTTGGGGAATAGGAAAAAAACGAAAGAGTAAGGGTTTATGGAACGGATGAAGTATAATTAACCATAAGAATTGAAAAGGTAATTTCTCAAATTTATGTTTTATGTTTTATATTAGTTTATCTAATTAATATGCAATATATATTAGATTTAATTATCAGTCAAATGTTAAAAATTATTGACTGCAAAAAGTTAAAACGGAATAAATACTCAGGAACGGAAATTGTAGTTTATTTTACATCTCTTACGAGTTACTCCCTCCGTCCCAGAGTATTTGTTCACTTTTGACCTTTTTTGGTCAAAATTGGTAAACTTTGACTTCAAATTAAATAAAAATGATATTGGATATCGATACAAAAATTATTTTATTAGATTTATTATATAAAATATTTTCAAAACACTATTTTATCTTATTAATATAGAATATATACTTTATTTAATTATAGGTCAAAGATTAAAAACGGTGAACTGAAAAGAGTCAAAACTGGACAAATACTCTTGACGGAGGTAATACGAGATAAAATATAAAAGATACAACCAATCACCCAATATTAGGGATGTAAACGGATATTAATCGGATCGGATATGCCATTACCAAATCCGCATCCGTTTATTTTTGTCGGATATCGAAATCGGATACGGATCTTGACAGATACTGAAAATCAAAACCGCATCCGCATCCGTCGGATATCGGTCGGATATATCCGTATCCGTTTCCAATTTTTAAAATCAAATTAAAAAACACTTTATTTTTAAATTAGATTAAAGCCAAACTATTATTAAATCAACTATAATTTGTTATGGGATAAATATTTTCTTTGTTTTCATGATTTGTGATATTTTACGATAACTTCATATGATAAAAGATATACACAGCTCATATATACACATAGTTTATATGTCTGTATATATTTTTATGTGTCTACACATTTATCTTGTATTAAAAAATGTCTTATGTTTTGAAATATCAATAGAGAAACAAAATATAAACATAAAATATTAGGAAAAACTATATATAACGGATTGGATATTCAGATAAACGGTTATTTAAACGAATGCATATTCGGATCAGATTTTAAACGGATCGGATATACAATTCCAAATCACTATCCGTTTAGTAATCAGATATCTTAATCGGATACGGATAATATCCATTTAAAACGGATGTGGATATTTTCTCTTTAATCGGATACGGAAACAAACGCTAATCAGATTTTCGGCTATCCGTTGACAGCCCTACCCAATATAGAGATGTGGAGGCTTAGATGTTTTTGGCAATAATAACTTCAACATTCTATTTTAATATTTCGAAATATTGGGCTCGGTTTAAACTTTAAGAGGCAACTTAGAACAGCCCAAAATACTAATGTGTATATTTAGATCGTATAGACTGTTGTTGGGCTATAAAGTTTGAAAGCCCATAATCTGTTCTGGCATGAGCGAGTCAACAACCCCCAAAAGCTAGGAATCACAGTGGACCATTTCCCATTTCCAAAAAGATTGAGAAGAAGAAGGAAGAAGAGAGGGAAAGGCAATCAATCCGCTGCAGGTTTTGATATCTCTCCCAAAGGGGCGCACCTGAGAACAGATTCACAACCATGTGGAGAAGGCTCTCTATCCAGCTTCTTCGATCCGCTCCGAAATCCGGCCGATTCGCCGCCGCGCCATCGTCATCCACGTCGTCGTTCGCGGCCGCGCTCCGCCCTTCCTTATCCGTTCACTCTCGCGGATTCGGCGCCGATTCAGGTGAAATTTCATTTCTCTCCGATGTTTCTGCGATTTCGAGTGTGAGAGGTCCATAGATCATGACATTCGTGAGTGATTTCGTTTTCATTTGTTTGAGGTTGTGTTTTTGTGATTGCGTATGGATATAGCGTTGAGTTTGATCCTTTTGTGTGAAATGTTCGTGTAGCAAGTGGCGCTGTGAAGAAGCGAGTGGAGGATGTAATGCCTATTGCTACCGGTCACGAACGTGAAGAGATCGAAGCGGAGCTTGAAGTGAGTCCTGTAACACGCGTGCATATGTTTGCTTGTGTGCCTGTGAATGTTTCTTATCTGGATGGATTGGTTCTCATTTCCTGTGCAGTGTTTTTAATCTTCCATTTGTTTGTTTTTGTGCAGGGGAAGAAGCTTCTTGATATCAACTATCCTGAAGGTCCTTTTGGCACAAAGGTTAGTTTTGATTCGTGACTTGTGAATAAACTTATTGTATTGATTATTGTTATCATTTTTCTTTTTCCACATATACATGTTATTAAAATATTTACCAACTTACCAATGTGTCCAGTGTTTACTGTTTATTTGATGCGTATTCCTCATTGAAGCATATTTTCAGTGTATAGTTGGTGGGAAGTTTTTTTAGGCTTTCTTGATTCTTATAACATGCGAATCACATGTTTTACCGAAAGCAGATACACATTTGTGACTATAATATGGAGTAGTATAATTGTAGTAGAAGCTTGACAGGCTTTTGTCAGTAGGCTGCCGCCTTGTGCGTCGATGGTTCTTAGTTTTATTTCTCTCCATAAGTTTGAGTTACATGCATGGCTTTTACAAACTAATAGTAAGTGTCTCTCTTTGTACCCCGAGCCTACTTTTGAGTGGGATATACTACTTACTAGTATGTCTGGGTTGGTTTACATAATAATAGTAAGGCTTGACTTTTTAAGCCCTACCAAGTACCAAAAAGTTATTCTATATGATATATTAACTCATAGGTCACTATTAAAAACATCTAAATTACTTGCTAAAGTGACATAATTTTGTTGCCCTACATAGTACTCTGTATTTGTTTTTAAAGGTTGGCTCTGCCTTGGCAATGAACCACATAACTAGAGGTGCATACCTGTAAATGGTGGCCGTCTGGTCCAGTTTTTAAAACAGAGTTTATATCATGAGGCAAAACCTTTATTATTTCGCTACTGTCTAATTAGTAATTACCATATCTTACTTGAAGTTACATGTAATTATGTCAAACATTTTACTTTTTCATTTTGATAGTTGAGACTAAGGGAAGTGTCATACCATTAGCCTAGACTTTTTTGCATTTATCTCTAAACTGAAACTTGTTCATATCTTACATGTTTTGACTCTGTTGATATGTAGATGACTCATCCTTGTAGAGTGTGTCACATACTCAATGTTTTGATTACTTATTGTGGTGTAAGAATGCATGACTTCACATGATTTGATGGTGGAATCTGCTCTCTCTTAGACGACCTAGGGTATGCATTGATTTATCTGGCCTTAAGTAGCTTTCTTATTGTGGTCAAAATTAGCAGCTGATAGCATTCCCATGACTATACAGTTCTTGCTTGTAGTTTTGCTTCCAGCTGCCTACATTAATGATTACTGCCTCTGGCTCACAGTATTGTCATCTTGGAAGATATCACACATGTTAAGGAGTTATTAAATGGACAAAACCTTTACAATACTCCCACTTACTAACATATACTCCCTCCGTCCCACTCTCTTTGTCCACATTCTTTTTGCGCAAATACCAAGAAAGTGGGACAGTGCAGTGAAAAAAGACAGAAATACCCTCCCTTTTAATTTCATCCGCCAGCTCCCGAATTCTCATCCTTTCTCTCTACCAATCATCATCTTCTTCAGAAAAAGTCCCAAACCGAACAGGGCCAAAGCTCCTTCTCCAACATCGCCGTCGACTTAACTCCGGCTGAGGAAATGTTCTCCCATGGCCAATTGATCTTCCTCCAACACCGCCACAACCGCTGTTCATCGCACATCCCCTCCGAAGCTTCCGTCATTCTCCTTAAAGATTCATCAGAAGAGCACCAAGGATGCAGAAGAGAAGAAAAATAGAGACCCAAATCCTTCGCTTCCATGATTTGGCCGTCGAAATGGAGAAGAGGGTTGAAGGTCATAATGAAGGAGAAACAGGGGACAAAGCTCGAATAAGAAGAGGATAAGAGATATGTGGAGTAAATCTAAGCCACTGGAGTCTGGAGGAAGATAGATAGATCTATAAACGAGAACAGAATAGATCTAAACAGGGTAGTGGGTGATAAATGAGGAAGGGTGTGGTGGGTTAAAATAAAAAGGAGGGGCAAAAATGACTTCTGGTATTTTAGGATTTACCAAAAATAGTAAGTGGACAAATACAATCCAAAAAAGGAAAAGTGGACAAATACAATGGGACAGAGGTAGTAATTATCATTTAATATTTGAATGTTAGTTTTGCAAATTTGTCTTAAATAACGATAAGAACAAAAAGAATACCATTCAATATTTTCTTTGTTTTATAAAACGACGCGAAACAAATTTTTCCTCCAAAATGAAAAGTGTGAAGTCTGAAGTGGAGTGAATACATACTAACGAATTGTCATTCATACATTAGGTTCAACTTAAAATGCCCCTAAATATGATTTCATTTTCTAGATTAGGGCACTGGAATCCATTCTTTATTGAATCTGTGATTATATTTGGCATATGATTGATTGAACCTCTCTGTGTTTTCTATTTCTATATTTGCTCCTAGGAAGCACCTGCTGTCGTCAAGTCTTACTACGACAAAAGAATTGTGGGGTGCCCAGGAGGTGAAGGCGGTATGTTGCACTATTTATATGAGTGGGGTCATAGAACCCAATGAATAATGCTCTTTCATTCCAGTTTAGTTGATAACTTTGCATGATAGAAAATGTCTTAGATTGTTTCTTGTCACATCTGTACAGAAGAAGAGCATGATGTTGTTTGGTTTTGGCTGGAGAAGGGCAAGCCGCATGAATGCCCTGTGTGCTCACAATATTTTGTGGTAACTTTCTGATTTCAAGGGTGTGTTTGGTTCCTGGAATATGCTATGGGAAGGGGAAAATATCTTGGGAAGCTGCTTTTGCGTGTTTAGTTTTACAGCGGAAATCACGAAGGAAAATGTTTCTACTTTTTTACAAATGCTTTGATATCTTAGTTGTTATATAATCGAATTAGATATTAAAAAGATTAGATTTTAAATTACTGAAAAAATTATTTTATGGAGTTTGAACACCCGCTTTATTTTCCATCACATTTTCTCTCCTTCCAAATTTCTCCTACTTTTATCTCCCTATTTTCTTTGCCTAGCACTTTCCGAGTTCCAAATGGCCCCCAGGAGTTTATGTTCTGGACAAAAGTGACACATTGCAACACATATATACAAATAAAGTATTTTTGGTCCAACATTTCAAAATTATACGGAGTAACCGCATGAAATTAAGATCTTTGAATTGCGAGTACTTTACCTGTAGAACACATGAGTAATGGCTTTATCCGTTCATCTATTCAAATTCTAAGTGGCCTTTAACCCCTCCAAATTTCTTTGTAAGCCGATTTAGCGATAGTATTGAAGTTGATTCGCGTTTAGTGAAAATATTGCCCTACGACTTACTATTTGGAAAAAGTTGACCAAATGAGCTCTTAATGCGCAATTTGTTTCATTGCCCGTTTGGCAACACTTTCAGCGTTTTGAAAGGTTAACCTAATCTGCATCATTAACAATAACCCAAAACAATAATGCTAATTATTTTCCCGTTTTCAGCTTGAGGTTGTTGGCCCGGGAGGTCCTCCGGATGGTCATGGCGATGAAGACGATCACTAAAACTCACGATGGTTTTTTTCGGCCAGAAAATGTGTTTTGCTGACTTGAAAGTCAGAGACTTCGTTTTTTCTTTTTTGTTTGGTCCTCTATTCAATAGTTTTTTTCTCACATTTAAAGGCTTAAACGTGTTTCTGGCCATGGGAGGAATTGATGTGCTCCGTAATTGCATAGTTATTGAATAATTGATTTCTTTGGTATGCATTATACTATGAGCGAATCATTCCCTTCATTTTTTTTTGCGTTGACTAGGCTCTCAAGATTCTTCATTCTGGCACACCGTAAAACTTCACGTAATCCTTAATTTCAAATGCTATTAGACCAGACAATTGTTTTTTCATTGGAGACACGGCCTAAAGTAGTAAATTAGGCTCCGTTTCATTTGCCTGATTTTTTGAAGATCTGATATGGTTTGGTCTGATTACAGTTATAATTAAAGCTATTTTTGATCTGGTCTGGTATGGTTTGATCTGATTATAATAAGAATAAGTAATAAGCAAAAAAAATAAATTCAACGGAACGCTGCCTTAGCCAGATTATTTTTTATTTTGTTTTATATTTGAGATTTGATGTCGGGGTACACCTTATACACCCTCCAAGCTGCCCTGGAGAGGGTGTGGTTGGCTAGATATGTTAATTTTATACTCCCTCTCTCTTGTTTTAAGTCGCATATTTTGAGTTTTGGACATATTTAAGGAAGAGAAAAAAGAGAGTTAATTTTCGGAAATTGCCATTACTTTATAGGAAGGGTGACGATGAATTAGAAGATAAAGTGGAGAAGAGTGACTTATTTTAGGAGTCGTTTAGGTATTTTACTCTTAAAAGTTTACGATAACAAGTAACAGACAACTTATTTTGAGACGGAGAAAAAAGACAAACATGCAATTTAAAATGGGACAGGGGAGTACAAGCACTAATTTTGTAGACTAAAGACACAACTCAATTGTGACAAAGACAATACTTCTTTGTTTTCCATATTGCTTGTGAAGTGCAAAAATTAGGTAGGATAAATTTTGTATACATCAAATATGATCTTTATTAATTTATTCTGAAGAAACAAAGGTCTTAACTTAACAGCAACAACATTGTGCAGTGTTCTCAAAGGCTTCCCGCCCAACACAGGGGAAAGGGGAAGTCATGTGTACGTAGCATGACCTCTATGCTTAAAACATATAGTGATTTTTTTTGGGGATAAAGACCAAAGTAGGACTAAAACATTGAAGATATACCAAAATAAGACTTCCATGTTTTTATTCCCGAAATAGGACTTACATTACCAAACATGGTCATATACATTACCAAAAAAGTATAGTAATTTGCACATGTACACTGCCACATTACCACAATGCAAAGTCACATTACTACAATGCAAAGTCCTATTCCGAGAAAAAAAACATGAAAGTCCTATTTTGGTACTTTTCTCTATGTTTTAGTCCTATTTAGGATGATTTCTATTTTTTTTTCAGATTGCACATGATGTCGAAAGTTATATTGATTAATTGTTACTTCATTGATTCATGTGCGTGTTTTTAATTTTCTATTTGATTTTTTTTTTGTTTTTTTCCTTTTTTCTTTATTTGTTTATTCTATCAATGAATTGAAGTTTCTTTATTTTTTAAAAAAAAATTGATTTTTGTGATGTTCTTAAAATTCAACACTTTTTTGTTTGAAATAAAATATAACATATACTGAACCTTTTTTATTGTTTGTTTTTCAAAGTTAAAAAGTAAAACCTAACTTTTTTTGGAACTTCAAAAAAAGAGGAATACAACATGAAATAATATAAAAGAATAAATTAAAATGGATATCGTTTTTTTGGACATATCAATCCTACAGACTTTTTTAGACATTCCGGAAATTTTGTATAAGAGTATTATTTGTACGTTTCAATTTTTTTATTTTGTTTTTCCATATTTTTTATTTCTTATTCTCTTTTTTGAATTTTCCATTTTTTTCCTAAAAAACAGTTGAAAATATTTAATTTGAGATAGATGAAGTGTATGTCGAATTTTTAATTTTAGTTTTTACTTGAAAATCAAACAATTTTATTTTTTTAAACATTAATTAAAAAATTAGAAAAGAAATTTAAAACAACTTTTCTAAAAAAAGGAAACAAAGAGATGAAAAAAGAGTTAAAAGAGGAAAATATATACGAAAAATAAGATATGAGTTGTGTTGTCCTTGCATTTGGAAAATAGGTACCAATGCACCTTCTTCATCGGAAGACGACTAGAAAATGATCAAGAAAATGGTATTGGTGCAAGATTTTGAAAATATAGAAATATTAGAAATAAGTTTTAAAAACAGAAATGGTATTAATGTCATTTCCCAAACTAGAGGAGATGTTGGAGCAATTTGACCTATTCAAAGAAGTGCAAATAGTTTGAATTGTACTACTCCTCTTCCACCTAGTCTCGACCCTAATGCATCTCTCCACTCACATCAATTGCGTAGTCCAAATTTAGTTAAGTTTGGGATCAAAGATTTGACCTCAAATGCAATTAAAGTTGCACCCCGCAATTGAAGTTGGTATAGCGATGGGTTGGGTCGGGATTTGGTGGAGGTTTACTTGGGATTAGGGAGATTTGAACTATCAACTTTGCTAATAAAGTACCGTAAGTGTCTCAATTGAGACAATGTCTTCTGTGACGACTCAATGAGAGTGGTTAACCGTAGTATTTAATTTATTACATCATATCCAAAAGTCAAAAAATAGTGAACCTTTAACACAATGGAAGGTGAAACCAAAATTTTGATGGAGCCAAAATACTGAAATAGTGAATCTTTATTTCCATTAAAGTCTAAAATTGTAATTTTAGAGTTGAAGTTATAAAATAATTTTAGAACCGTCCGTTTTAAAGAATTAAATATTGAACAATATATAGCATGACTCAATTCCATATTATGATCACTATATAATCGTTAAAAAGTGGGGCAATAGGATTTGAGTAATTTGACATTCATAAAAGGATTTCATGATAAAATGGATGGGGAAATGGTCTTCAAAAGGAATCATAAAGATGCGATTTCGTAGGATATATATCAAAGAATTGCAGTATATATATTGACTATATTCCACATGTGAATGATATTCTTCAAACTTTAAAGTCAACTTTTTTTTCATTTTGTGAACGATTTTATTTTTTGTACATTTAAAACTCAAATGAATGCATCCCAATGAAATATTTACCAGATTTTAAAAAACAAGGTAAAATATTAAGTTTTTTGAAATTTATTTTAATTAAATATTCGTATAGGAATAAAAATGAAATTTACATATTTATTTTCTCACTATCAAAAAATGACTCCCAAGAGCACTTTTTTATTTTTTTAGTTTTTGTAATTTTAATTTTAAGTATGTTAAATTTTCACTTTTATGAATGTAGTGTTTCGTAATTTTTAATGTTGTATCCGCTTATTTTAATCTTTTAATAATCACAATCTTTTTTTATTTTTAAAATTAAGTATTTATTTATATTAATAAATAAATATTTGTATTAAATTTATATAAATTTTGAAGTAAAATGATGCATAATATATAAGAATAGAAAGCACACTAAATATGACTAAAACAAAGAGAAAAGTACCAAAATAGGACTTTCATATTTTTATTTCCGAAATAGGACTTCACACTGTGGTAATGTGACACTATACATGTGCACATTACTATACTTTTTGGTAATATACATGATCATGTTTGGTAATGTAAATGCATTTGAAGTCCTATTTCGAAAATAAAAACATGGAAGCCCTTTTTTGATATATTTTTAATGTTTTAGTAGTATTTTGGTCTTTCCCTTATATAAGAAACAGAGAGACAAGTTTTTAAGAGCAATAACGGTGGAACTAAAAATGAATGAAATACTGATACGAGAAGAGTTTGGAGCCGGGCCAGAAATTCCCCAATTGTAAATTCCCATTTTAAATGCTCTTAATTTATAAATTCTGATCAATACGAAATAATTTGAGCAAAAAATTCTACTTGTACCCTATATTGTACCTTAAGGTTTTGCTCTGACATTAAATCTAAGTGCAAAATTAGTATTATATCGGTGTTGCACTTACATTTTATGTCAGAATAAAGTTTTGAGGTAGAAAGTGGGTTCAACGTAGCACCATCCAATTTCAGCCGAAAGGAGCAAAAAGGAAAAAAAAAATGAAAAATAAAGAAGAATCATTTCAAGAAAGGCTGTCATGCTCTGAAAGGTCCAGTTTTGTTTTCTTCTGTTTTCTTGGCCATTGCGCTGTGGGGGTGGTGGAGTTTGTCATGAGTATATACCAACAAAAAGCTATGATGATTATGGGACTCGGAGCAAATAGCTGTGCCCTTCCGAAAACGACCCGACTTACTAAATTCATTGGAGGCAATCAAGAAACCACCACAAGGAATCAATCACAATGCCACTCTTCAGATCACACCCCAAAAGTCCGATGTCTTCTTCCCCCCAAGGTTGCTGAAAAACCCAACTTGGATATGCACGTTAACTGTTTGTGTAAATGCCTAAAAGAGAACACCCTTTTTTTAGATTCGTATGTTTAATCCTTTTCGAGCGGATAACTTTGCAATGATGATAAATTGGAGACTTGAACACTGCCTTTTGAAACTTAACCGGTATCTGTCAATGATCAGAAATACATAAACAAATGATTGATGCCAATTTTGATTTTTAATTTTCAAAAAAAAAAAAATTGTCTTGACTGTATTTTCTTGTGGTTGTGATGGTTACCATGACTTCTTCATATATGGACACTGCCAAGCAGTGCCCACAAGAAGAGATTCTCTCTTTCCTGTGCTGTAAATATTGAGCCCTCCATCTGAGCACCAGGGGGAATGGATGGACGAATCAATTATCCTGTGTTTTTTTTCTTCACTTCATTATTTTTCACTCCTGCATATGGGAAAATATTCTCTGTTATTTTCCTTGTCTTTTTCACTCTATTTCATGAGTGCCCTTTTGTTTCTTCTTCTGTTTTATGAAAAAATAATAATGTGCTGGTGTGTCACACACATGGAGTGTTTTGCTTATAAATAAGAGTCTCAGTGTCTCCTGTTTTAATAGAATTGCAGCTCCAGTCCAGATTCATTCTTTCCCAGATATCTTGAAGGGTGTACTTAATCTTTGATGGAAAGGATGAACTATATGAACTCCTCAGCAGGCTCTGGTTAGTCATCAAATTTCTTGTTTCAGATATTTCTCACCCAATATTTGATTTTTTTTGCTATTATTTATCTGTTGTCAAACTTACATTAAGTGGCAGAAAAAAATGGCTTTTTTTCGTGGGCTTTTTCTGATACTGTATTTGATTATGTTGTGGTCTTTAAATCTTCTATATATAGTTACACTTTGTTCAATAATAATGATCAGGAAGTAGAACGGCT